CAATTGGTTTTGGATTTAGAAAATTTAAAGCCGTTTTCAAGACACAATTTATTCATTTTGTTTAAATATAACTGCAGTTGCCGTTCAATAGTATGCATATTTTTATCACGACAAGAAATATTGAAATCATCAGCAAATAATTATCTATTAATTGAATCATTTAAAACCGTTGATAAACTATTGATCTTGATGCTAAACAGTGTAACAGACAAAATACAGCCTTGAAGGGACACCCTGATCTGATTGTAATGATCAGACAGGGTTAAACCCACTCGGACTTGAAATTGCCTGTCTTTTAAAAACTGTGATATAAAAAGAGGCAAACGGCTTCTCAAACCAAAATCATGTAAATCCTTCAAAATGCCATGCTTCCAGGTCGTATCATAAGCTTTCTCAAGATCAAAGAAAATTGATACAGTATGTTGTTTATTTACTATAGCATTTTCAACAAAGGATTCTAAACGTACCAAATGATCATTGGTACTACGATTTTTCCTGAAACCACATTGAATATTTGTTATACGGTTATTTGTTTCAAGATTCCAAGTTAATCTATTATTCACCATACGTTCCATGGCTTTACCGACACAGCTAGTTAGATATATCGGTCTGTAATTAGACGGATCTGTACGATCCCTGCCAGGTTTTGGTATTGGGACTACAATGGCATTACGCCATGAAGGAGGAAATTCTCCAGACGTCCATATTTGGTCAAATATATCTAAAAGTGTCATCGGATATGGTTCAGGTAAGTGTTTCAGTAGCTGGTAATGTGTATTATCATCACCCGCTGCAATGTCATGAGCTTGCTCAAGAGCAGTATGTAGCTCATGTAATGAAAAAACTTCATTATAGTCTTCACCGTTATTTGATTCGTAATTAAGTTTTGTCTTTTCCTGTTGTTTCTGATATCTCTGAAACTCAGGGACATAATTTGCCGATGATGAATTTTTTGTTTTAGTTTTGTCAGTAATTAAGTTATCACCATCTTTAAGATGGTGAACAGCAGATTTGGAACCTTTGCCTTTAATTCTTTGAACCATGTTCCATACCTTAGACATTGGCGTGCGTGAATTAATTTTGGAGACATAATTTCTCCAAGATTTCGGTTTGTTTTGTTTTTTCAATGCCTTTGCATTGAGTATTTTTTATTTATTTAAGTTATGGACAGTTGGATGATGGCGGAAATAATGCTCTGCCTTTTCCCTTGCTTTTCTGGCTTGTCTACAATCTGTATTAAACAATGGTTTTCATACATGTGAAGTCGTAGAGGACTTTGGTATACACTCATCAGCTATTTAATTTAAAACGTCAGCAAAACTTTGAATGGGATCGGTTATATCACTTAAACATTCAGGTCGCAGTTTCGATTTACAAATAGTTTGATATAAGACCAGTTAGCATTCGAAAAGTTCCATCTTGTATACGATGGAGAATCAGATGGAGTTATTTCTGAAAGGATAGTTGGGAAGTGGTCACTTCCACAAAGGTCATTATGAACAGACCAATCAAATTCATTCAGGAGGTTAGAATCTGCAAGAGATAAATCCAGAGAAGAATAAGTGCCAGTTGCAGGATGCAGATAGATACTTGAATCATCATTGAATATGCACAGGTCATTATTGGAAATGAAATCTTCAAGTATTTTGCCTTTAGTATTAGTGTTAGTACTGCCCAAGAGTAGTTGTGACCGTTTAGGTCAACCATAATAACACATGGCTTTGGGAGTTGATCATAGAGTGATTGAAGATCAGTCTGCTGAAGTGCCGATGAAGGGCATAATGTAAATGCTACACTCAGAGTAAGCCGCACTGCAACAGCTTGCAGATTAGTGTTAAGGGCTGTGAATAACATCCTGTCCTATAAGGATAGTAGAACCTCCAGTGGCTCTATCACCCAGAGGGGAAAAGTAATGATAGACTTCAAACTGACGTAAGCTAAAATTATCTGTCTGTTTCAGATACTGTCTCTTGCAGACAGAACGCTCATGGTGTTAAATCCTGGATTAATAGCTGTATTTCACTACAATTTGTCCACAGTCCTCTACAGTTCCACTGCATGATATGTTTAGATAGTCCTATCTTTTAGGTGGATTAATAGGGGATCTACCCCGCACCTTTTTGGAGGACGACAAGCTATGTGCCCTAGAATGGACGTTTTCGGACACGTCCATGTCCTCAAGTGATCCGTATTTGTTAAATAATTTGATTTTATCATCTGACCCTTTTGTGGGTCTGCCACTTTGTTTTTCAAAGAATCTGGCTTCGGTTTGCTTTTGCCTTTGACGGTTTGTTGAACGTTTCTGTAAGATTGAGTCATTTGAGATGCCTGAGAAGATGTATCACTTTCATAAGATGGTTCTGATTGGGTTTTGGGCGCGCCAGGAAGTGGTTCCAAAGTTTTTGTAGACATTGCAGGTGATAAAATCTTAGGAGACTCGGTTTTGAGCCAAGTCAAGTTCGTCTGATAGCTTGCAGATGACTTGGTTACTGTAGGGGTTATATCAGACGATGTTGTTTCTATGGACGCATAAGTTTCCTTGATCTCAGATCTTAAGACAAGCTTTTTTGCATCAGAGAAACTAATGTTTTGAGTAAATTTGATCTTATTGATCTCCATATGCTGTTTCCAGATCGGACATTCTTTGGAAAATGATCAGTGAGTGCCTGCGCAGTTGGTACATTTCTTAAAGGTACTCTCACAATCTTCTGTTGTATGTATCTTCTCACCACAGTGAGCACACACAACAGACAATGTGCAAGTACTAACACCATGACCAAGCTGATGACATTTAAAACACCTCAGAGGATTTGGTATGTAGGTGTCAACAGTAATGTTACAGTATCGTGCCTTTATTGATCTGGGAGCATTGGGAGAAGAAAATGAAAACAGGTAAGTGTTCGTCTGAATGGTTTCCTGGTTTTTACGTGTTGTAAAACGCTTAACATAAGTGACCCCTTGATCTGTCCTTTCTGAAACAATATCAAGTTCGGACATGTCAGTGAACAATCGATCTCGGTCTCTAACGATTCCTTTGCTGGTGTTAAGTGATCTATGAGGAGAGACTGAATGCCGACGAACGTTTCAGTAGTCATCAGGTTAGTTGCCTGTTGCCTTTTGCTGCACTCAATGAGCAATGACCCTGAACGCAAAAGTTTAATGTCTTTCACATCACCGGGTATGCCTTGTATGCCTTTTTGTACTGCAAAAGGATTCAACTTCAATCTTGTGTTATCTTGAGTCTCCATCACTACGAAACGTGGCCAGTAGTCAATTGATTTGGGCTGTCTATGGTCATCATCATCAGGATCAGTGTCAAGAGGACGTTTTTTTTTTTTTAGGGGAGTTTCGTAAGCCATGGTTAGTGTTTAAAGATTCATCATCCGAGCTCCCCACCCACCACGGAGTATCATGAAGACAATCCTAGAAACAAGTGTGTCCCCAACTTGCTGCACGGATACTCGGATGATATAATCCAGCAGAAAAACTAAAATAATAATTCTTCGACCAGATTGGCCCATGAGCCACCGCCTTCTGGGCATAAGACTCTAGGTTCATAATAGACAAGTCAAATGCTGTCCTATAAACAAAGGGTGCCAAGACCAAAATTTATACAATTCCAAATCAAATTTTGTGCAGTTGCAAAAAATCCCTGCACAGGGCATGGCATGACTAGCCGATTGATTGAACCGGGCCCATTCAACCATCCCTCTAGGTGAAGTAAGGGTCGAAGTGGTGTTTTGGGGCAAAGGAACACTGTTCCTGGAACCAGTGCCCTCAACCACCAGACTCCCATCGTCCACCGACACACGGGCGCAACCCACGGCAAACAGGTTGCCCAATTCGGTCTAACGACCAGCAATGGGGTGCTGTGGACCAAATATATCCCCGGGTCCACACGGGGGGTTGAAGAGCTCTTAGCGTTACCCAGCACCCACCACGAGGAGGTGGCTCTTCACGGGTGCCGATGCTGGGATGAGAGTGTGGAGGCTACACCGTGAACGTTATGCTCAGTGTTGTGTACTGGAAGCTGACAGATTTGGGGGCGGAAGTGTCATGGTTTGGTGGGCTTTCTGTGGGATTGTCCGTTCCCGACTTCTTGTTATCCGTGGGAACCTTGATGCTGCAGGTTACCGCGACCAGGTGCTAGCCCCCGAACCTATTCCATTCACGGCAGCACTTGGTCCAGGTCTGCTCTTTCAACAGGAGAATTCAGACCCCATACAGCCATCTTGACCAGGAATTACCTGCAGAACGCAGGAATCAACATTCGTGATTGGCCGTCAAAGTCACCTGATCTCAATCCAATCGAGCACATCTGGGGTGCTCTTGGTAGATGTCTGCGCACTCTCAGGAACCAACCCCAGAATTTGCAGGATCTTGGTGCTGCTTTGCAGGATCAATGGCGCCGACTCCCCAATAATGTGTTTACACATATCAGACAGTCCATGAGGACGCGTTGCTTGGCAGTTGTGAACTCACGGGGTGGCCATATACCAGATTTAATTTCTTGTGACTTGAAACTTTGTTTACGCCTTTTATTGATAAATTCTGTAACCACATGGAACGGATTTTTGGCATTGTGATTATTCTAAGTTCATCCTATCGACCTTAACAAATAAATGATACCGCATTCCTGTGTCCTTTCTTTTATATATTATTTAATATATACTGTATATGATTGTGTAGTTTCTAGTTTGACTCAGTATATATCAAATGTATGTCTTATCACTAACAGAGCTGAATAGGTTCGCTAGGTTTAGTTTTTAAGCTATTGGTAAAACACGGGAAATAAGACGAAATTTCAATCTTTTAATTTTGAACTGCTGAACGGCACACTGGAAATAAAATTGAATCTGAGTGCAGTGGAACGTCAAAGTGTTGATAACTGTGAATACACTCTGGAAACTGTAGAGGGGAATAGGTATGAATCGAAAGTCTGCAGTTTATTAAATGCTTGAATTCAGTTTTAAAATATTTCCAGTGAAAGTAACGCTCATTCATTTGGCCGACGACTCCATTTTCTTGTCCGTTTTCCTTGTCAGTTCAAGGGTTTCCTCAGTGGGTTTATTGCCACCTTGTAACTTGAGAACAATTAAGGCGACACCGAAAAAGATCAAGGCAGCAACCTTTAAAGCGGATTCCACAGCCTTCAGTCTGACTCGCAAGGATTCCAGGTTGTACTGGCCGCACGCACCACTTACTCCACATGGCCTCTCCCAAATAAGGCATGCACTGTCGATGATGTAGCCGAACACAATTGGAGCCGGAAGGTATCCTGCAACAGCATGTCTCAATTTTGAAACTCAATTCTGTATCTGTGACAATAATCCTATGACTACAAAAACATTATACATACATAATTCATACGTGTGATCGCACGGTCATTGAATGTTGTATTATGTAATGTTAATGACATCAACAATATGACATGACGGCTGATCAAGTCTGGTTCTGTACACCAATACCTGAGAACATGAGCAATGCTCTGCGTCTTCCAGGCACGATGACACAGCCAAGGTTAGACACTGTAAAGCCAAATCATCCAAACTACTCCGCTCTCACAACAAGCATGGGCTGTATGCCAAATGCAATCCTCGGAATCCCAGCGGTCTTGCCGTTCAGTGAGTGAGTTTAGTTTTACGCCGCACTCAGCAATATTCCAGCTATATGGCGGCGGTCTGTATATAATCGAGTCTGGACCAGACAATCCAGTGGTCAACAGCATGAGCATCGATCTGCACAATTGGGAACCGATGACATGTGTCAACCAAGTCAGCGAGCCTGACCACCCGACCCCGTTAGTCGCCTCTTACGACAAGCATGGGTTACTGAAGGTCAATATTCCAACCAGGACCTTCACGGGTACCGTACAGTGAGTCATACTAAACCTACAAAGAAAAGGTCAATACCGACAGCTCTCAAACATTGAAAGTACAAGCGGCAAAACCCTTTCCAGATCCATAGGAAACCTCTGCTTAGCAGCAGAGTCAATTTTACAGTTTCCCCTCTATTACGAAAACGTGTTGTTTTGTTAAATGCAACATTCAGCTACATTACAGCTATATAACGTCGGTCTGTAAATAATATAGTCTGGATCAGACAATCCAGTGATTGACATCATGAGATACGATGACAGAGAATGTCACTATCAAAAAAGATTGATACCAGATGTTCGCGAAAAGGAGAATGTCATACACCCACGCAAAAGCTAGTCAATTGTTCATCTGAAACCAAAATGGCACAAGTCAAAATAGGGCGGTCGCATCGGATATCATCTTTGTCATTGATGCATCAAATTTTGATCCTGAACCTATGATGATAGTTATGTAAGTTTGTTCACCTCATTTGTTGAAAATACAGATATGGATCAAGGGATGTAGATTCCCTGAAGTGTCATGTGCGATAGTAGTAGGGCTGGCTTTCGATATAGATCATACAGATCGATAATCGTTAACTAAATATTGATCGATTGGCAATAATATATATCGGTGATTAACTTTGAGGAAAAATGCCCCCAAAATCTCAAAGAAATATATATATATATATTTTTTACATCACAACTGAGTGGGGACATGTTTATTGAAGAATTACCATTGTAGTAACAAAACAGCGCTCTGAGCATGATTTATAAGCAGCAATGAATAATGTCCAACCTTTGAATATTGCGTGGGTAAATTAAAACATTATGCTATGACAAAAGTTTATGTACGATAGTATCGATGACACAATTTCCATATAGATAGTCATTAATATTTTGTCCTATCGACGATATTTCCAATTATCAGTCAGTTGAGCCAGCCCTAGATAGTAGTGTACAACGTTGAAAAATCAAATGTTCTGACCGAAGATTTTAGAAATGTTTGCGTTGTTGAGAACAAACCGAGAACCGAAATAATTTCCGTGAATATAGGAATAAATAGAAAGTTCGTCCTTGACAGTATAAATATATATACTTTGAGATCTGGAATTGGTGGTACATTAGCTGGACCCAGCAGTATATTTTATTCCTCTTTGTACGGATTTTATGGAGCTTTGGAATCCGTACTGACAAAGAGAACTGGACATCTTCAGGTTTTAGAGTCAAGCCAAACGTTGATACTACAGGAATTGTCACTACAGTCTTATAGGGTTGTAATCAATTCCAAGGGGCACTAAAATAAATTCAATACATGCAATACCGACATGTTATACATGTACATACCTAGCAGGGATGATAAAAATGTAAACAACCCAAACGCCGTTGCCTTGTCTCTGCCCTCTACGCTCCTGCATAAACAAAACATGCACAGTTGTCTCAGTAGTTGTGACGCAAGTATCATTAGATGAGGTTATGACAAAATAAGTATTCGGAAAGAAACTACAGTGTAACGAGTTTTTCTGAGCATATCATTGTTGAAAGGCGATTTGGTGCCTGACTCTGAGGGTGTGGGTTCGAAACCCGGACGGGAGTCAACCCAAAAAGAATTTGTACTTTACTAAGAAAGTGTAATCCCAAATATAACATATGTTGCATTTGACCACTTTCTAAAGGACATTGTGTAATCATGAAAGTTGTTTGTTCAGTTGGCCAAACAGGTCACCCGTTGCGATAATAATGTTCTCTGTACCTTGTGGAGAATATACGTGGAGACGCACGTTGTATCTCTCATATGGTGCAACAACGACTTGAAATGTGCTCACCCAAATACCTTAAGGAGGAAGAATATTTTACTGTACAATTGTAGTGTGATACAGCTACCCTTGCAAACGCTGTCTGTGAAATTCACGCACATCACTCATCATTTTAACGAAAATCTACCATCTGTACGGATGCAAATCTCTACATTTTGTGGAACTGAGCAACTGAGATGACCATTGAGGATATCATTTACGACAAGACATCAATGTTGAATAACTGGGTGATTAAGTAAAGTAATTAACACCTGGTTGTGGATGGGAACGACAACACGCATGGTGATCTTGTCCCTGTAATGTACGCCAAAGTCCTAATAACTAGTGAGTGTCCTATTTTGTGTGCATGACGTACCTTGATGAGAGTCGTGTCATGAACTGTCTGCATGGTGAACTTAATGTGGGCCATATCATATACATGTATTCCATGTATGACGTACCTGATAACGATCATATAATCTTCTGCATGTATGGCGCACCTGAGGAGTGTCACATTATGCATCGAAGGTATGACGTACCCAGAGAGGGTCATATGTTCTCTTGCATGTAAGACGTACCTGATAGTGGCAAATCATGTCATGTTTGGGATGTATTACGTAACTAATGAGAATAATGTCATCCTTTTTATGTATGACATACCTGATGGAAATTATTATGTTTTGTATGCATAACGCAACTGATGAGAGCTATGATGTGTATATTTGACTGTACGTGATATTTTGTCTATGTGTGACGTACCTAATGAGAATCAGGTAAATAGGCAAGATGGACATGGTTCCGATCAGCTTCTGTATCATGTCGGCGGCAATGTAGTAGTAGAAGTAGGGGCAGTCGCTGACACACGCCCCTGCCGTTGTCTGGCCGCTCGTCACCTTGCTACAACCACCATACATCTGGGGAACAGACACACGTGGATGATATTCTGTCATTCGGACATTGAAGACTATCAAGGCTAGCTTCCAGCAGTAACCTTTCTGTAACATCTGGATCCTATTGTATTATAATTTAGAGGCATCTAACCTTCAAATATGCATTGACGTGGCCGTTGACTGAGTGTAGAACACCAAACTATATATTTCATTATTGCGGCTTTCCCATCCTTACGAGGCACCCATTCACAGCTGGGTGGACTGGGACACATAGTCACAGTACTTTGTCCAAGTTTACTGCACGTTGCTGTACCCGGAACTAGGTGTTTGCATGTATTCATGTGGCCACCATCTGGTAATATACCAACGGATTCGTGGGTTCTTTTAAGTGCACAGCAAGTGTACTGTACACTAGGGGTTGTGACAACACTGAAAGAGTCTGCGCCTTAGCCAGCTCGCCCACCACGCCTCACTTGGGGCTGACACATATTGTCCTTAATAGTTAAAATGTTTTAGATTGAATTACTAGTTTTACGTTTAACTGTGATTTCCTAGTTGTTTTACTGTCCTTCGTTGACAGATTTTTATAATTTACCTTTAGTTATTCTTTAACTATAACTTAATTAAGTCACAAAATATTGCCAAAGTGGTTTTAAATTTTAACTCGCTGACTCACCCAGATTACTCAAGCCGCGTCATACAAGAAGACGTTAAAAATGCGATTTGTTGTTACCCCGCCTGGTGATCCGTATTAACGGTACAACTAGTGGTGTTCAGCTTTGTATTGAGCAGTATCCAACAGCAGCATGTTATCTCTGTGGCCAGCACTATACACAGGTGCTCACACGTCGCCATCATATGTAAGTGAAATATATCTGAACGCGAAGTTACACCACATTTGCCCTCACTTGGTTGGTGCTAAGTACGTTATATAGCGATTTCAATACTCAACACAATGGATGATCCCGTACCGATAGAGTTTGGTTTGTACAGCCAGCGAAACATGGGGAGAAGTACGTCATCCCGTCGTCTCCACAGACAGGAAAGTAACTGGTGCTGTCGCACGAACACAGTCTGATGCCGTCGTCAAATGTGATGATTCTGAAAACATACCACATAACCAGAGTGCACACAGTGAAAGAGTTTAGGCTGTCCGTGTTTTTTTCTCTGTGTCCCCAATCTTCCATCTGCAATGAATTTTCATTCCGAATGATAAAAATACATCCTTTCTCAATTTTCCAAGACGCTGGAACTGATTGCCCTGATTGCCCCCCATACCCCTGTACATCTGTCAGCTTGATCTTTCTTCATCTTACTTTTGTGAAATGCAACAAGATCTACATCAAAATTTCATTTAAGACTACAATTACCAACTGCTCCAGATTAAACAATTTCATAAAAAAGGTTACGCAAAAGGAAAAAAAAGCATACATTTTATCATTACTAAATTTCATGTATTTATTCGAGCGTCCGCACTCTTGAGGTTGGGGTTGCACGTAGAAAATACCGATAGCATTAGAACTGGTATCCTGCTGTAAAATGAAGAAACAAGCAGGGCAAATCTGAAGCCTGGAAGTGTACCCCTTCACACTGCATTGACGTGCCTCCGACAAAGTCAAAGACCAGTAACTCTGTTATGTGGGTCAGACAGAGCTGGGAAACAAATTTATGATGTCAATACTTTGTTTTGGTCTTTACGGCTTTGTCATTGGCACGTATGAACTCACAGGCATACATCTGTGGTACAGAAGCGAATTGTAATCTACTATTTATACTGAATTCCTCTTGTACAGATGTTTATGATCATGCTACGTTGAACTATATTATCGTTAAATTGAACTATATTATGTTGTCATGATAGTGCCGCGGAAGTTTCAAATGGCGAGATTTTAATCAGGAAATAAACTTGTAGGTGAAGTAGGCATAAATAGAGATTACGGCCCCACGGTCACAAAACTGTCACTTTCTTCACTTAAGGTCTGTGTCATTGGGTGGGTTGAGCAAATTCGGTGGTTCTTCGACACTGGTTTGATTAGAAACGTAGAACGTACGGGTAGCATTAGAGTGAGTGAGTTAATATTTATCGTCACATCGGCAATATTTCAGCTATATCGTGACGAGAACAATTATTTATTGCATTACAGAACAATAAAAGTTAAAAATTAAAAGCCTGTTGACGAAGGACAGTAAAACTACCAGTGTATCACAGATATTAAAGTAAAACTAGCATGTTATCATAAAACGATATTTTAAAAGAGAACAATACAATATAGAACCAGGCTAGAGATTGCCAACAACTGAGGGTATAGCCTCATACTAGGGACCATGGGGACTTACAGTACATTTGCCTCCTGCATGGACCCTAGCTGGATTGACACCACCCCTTCAGCTATTAGCAATTTGAGATAATCTAGCCAGAAATTAAAAGAACATATATACTAAGATTAAAAATAGTAGGTTTAAATTTAGTTGAATGATTTGGGACAATAATTTTACAATACTTTAACACCCTTTGAGGGTACAGCCACTAACAATCTCAGTTACTAATCTAAACTACCAATATTAAAATATTTATCTATTTACATACCATTTATCAATATTTATCTCTTAATTTCTTTTAAAAATTCAATGGTTCAAATTAAAAGGATCCTTCACTGTTTTGACATTGAAATATGTATCCCTTGTGATGGAAATATCAATACAGTCAAGCAGAACATGCTTGACCGTGATTCTTTCACCACAAGGATACACAACGGAGGATCTTCACCTTTTAACAGGTATTCATGAGTATATCTAGTATGGCAAATACGATACCGTCGCACGATCACCTCCTTAAATCTGGACTGACAACCCAAGTAGGTGTAACCGATACTTCATGTAATCATGTAATTTATTGATACCTACTTGGGTGTCAGATCACATATCTAGTATGGCAAATACGATACCGTCGCACGATCACCTCCTTAAATCTGGACTGACAACCCAAGTAGGTGTAACCGATACTTCATGTAATCATGTAATTTATTGATACCTACTTGGGTGTCAGATCACGGATGCAAGTTCTAATGCTAGCTTTGTAATCAGAGTATGGGATGAAAAGTGGTGTCACAGATTTATTGAGCGCTGCCGTAGCAGCAAAATCGGTCATTGTGTTCCCAGAAATTCAAACATGGCTTCGTAACCAACAGAGGACGATGTCGTATTGGCCAGTAGCAAGTTCATTATATAATTCAATAATTTCTTTTAAAAGTGGATGTTTACAAGATAAGTATTTAACAGTCTGAAGGCAAGAAAGAGAGTCAGAAAAGATTATATATTGTTTATGTTTAGGATGTCTTTGAATATATTTAAGAGCCGTTAATATGACGTTTGCTTCTGCTGTAAAAATAGAGCTGTTATCCGGTTTTCTAGAAGATATTGTTCTTGATCCAATGACAGTGGATAGCATTGGAACTGGTATGTTGCTGTACAATGAAGAATCAACAAGGGGAAATCTGAAACTAACGACCTTGAGTGGGTTCTTGTAATTAATGTAACCCATACAATATTTCACCATATCGTGACGAGAACATATTACATTGTGCCTCAGTGTGTTGTAATTAATGTTTTCTAAAACATTTTAACCATAGGGGAAAGAATTAAAATGGGCTAGTGAATGGTTAAAATTCTTAAATAGTAATTATCGTTCAGATGCTTACCGCTCCTTGTCATGGAAACCAAGAATCTGTGGTGTATCACAGCCGAGGAATACCATAACCACAGTGGCCAATGAGGCTACAATTTGCGACAACAGGATAAGCTTGAGACAGCCAGCTCGTGTGAGTTTTAGACGACTTGTCAGAAGTCCCCCAGTGAAGGTTCCGACTGACAGGCTGATGAGACTCTGTATCCCTACAACACAAGTTTAGGACTACATACCAAGGGAGATACTGATGCCAAACGATGGGGTAGCGTCTAAACCCGTGTACCACAGATACGTCGTGATATAGAAAGTGAGTGAGCCTTACCAAAGTCCATGTTAAAAAATAATGTTAAAAAATAATGAACGTTACTTACACGTTTTACGATTGTGAAGGAGTGGATGAGCTCTTTTGGCTTGAAGTTGCTTTTTTAAGCAAAATTAGTTATTACACTCATATACTTATACCACAGCGTATCAGTCTCATGTTACAGGGATCCTACCTATGCTGCCCTGAACGTGAAATTTTTGGAGAACCTACGAACACAGATGCTGACAAACAAAGAATCGTTCTCAAAGTGAGTCCCGCTATAAGCTCGCGGTCATCAGGTTATGGTACCACCGAGTACCACAGCGTTGCAGCGCAAATTGCAATTTTGCCTTATATGAAGTTGGAAATACTTGTACAATATTTGTTCTGCTGAAGCCATTCCATTTGCAGCTGACGGGAGAAAACAAAAGATTAGGAAATGATTCCCAAACAGATTTAACAATATTTGAAGATGTCACCCACCTAGGATGATGTTTGTTCTGGATGCGGGGACCATAAACTGCTTCTCGGCGTACTTAGATGTGAAAGCCTGAGATCCGGCCACGTGAAACTTCAAGAAGAGGATGCCCACCAGCGACAGACTGTAGACAGGACTCCTCAACACACGGAACATTGACCTAGGCAGATCTGAAACCAACGCCATATTTATAAACAAGTAACAGTTGCCGATGAAAAGAGTGAGTGAGTTTAGTTTTACGCCGCACTCAACAGTATTCCAGCTATATGGCGGCGGTCTGTAAGTAATCGAGTCTGGACCAGACAATCCAGTGATCAACAGTATGAACATCGATCTACGCAATTGGGATACGATGACATGTGTCAACCAAGTCTGCGAGCCTGACCACCCAATCCCGTTCGTCGCCTCTTACGACACCCATGGGTTACTGAAGATCAATTCTAACCCGGATCCTCACGGGTCTCCGATGAAAAGAGTTTCCTCCTGAGGAATAATACACTATCTACGATACTGGAGAGATATTTGCATGCGCATATGTAATGAGTACGTTCCTTATTAGGAACTTATTCTCTTGTATATTCTCTCTAACGGTGCACCCAGCAGTAATCCAGCTCTTTGATAACAGCTGTAAGCAGTTGAATCCAAACCAGACGACATAGCGCTGCGGGCAACGGTTACCACCGTCTGGTTACATTGGCAAGCTTTCAACCAATTCACTCAGCCTGTCCACATCTTAAGGATGAGATATAAAGTGGCCCACATCTGTGATCTTATTATCAATGTGAAAGAGTGCAAAATATAGCACAAACGGTCATGATGTATAATAACTGACACTGTTTCAAATATATTTCTTCAGTCTGTCAAGGCACCACAGACATGTTTTCAGTGTGCAAGTAAACTTCAATATTATGATATCTTGCACCTTTTATTTTCGCCTTAATAGGAACATCCTCTTTCGGTGTTTCTTCAGTTGGAACAATTTGTTTCGGGAAGAACAGTAAAGGTATTCCAACGACGACACCCAAGCAGCCGAACAGGAGAAATCCAATCCACCATGCTCCAATCCATTCGGGATGTCTTGGTGTCAGCACCGTATCTGGGGAGACAGAATCGTATTATGATTGTTAATATGTAGAAACGGTTTACACATATATTATTACGATTCGCGTAATGATTCCGACATAGACAAAGACCATTAGCTTTGTTATGTGGGTCAGACAGAGCCGGGAAGCAAATTTAAGACGTCAATGCTTTTTTCAGTCTTTACAGCTTTGTCATTGACACTTATGAACTCATAGGCATGCGTCTGTGGTACCGAAGCGACTGGTAACGCACTATTCAAATCAATTTTTCTCGTACAGATGCTTATGATGAATGCCACTTTAAACTATATCGTTGAATTAAACCATATGATGTGTGTGTCATTGTGTGGGTTGATCAAATACAGTGGTTCTGGATCTGCTCTCGTTGGATCCCAAAAATTCTCAGGTATAAAGCTCAATAGAAATAGCTAAATGTGCTCTTACATCTTCATCATAAACTGGAAAGAAGAAGTTGAATTCAAATGCGCTTTGCCTTTTATTTAATAGCATCCCTGTGTCCATCTGGCGTTACCAAGGACTCGATAGGTTCTTTGTAAACATTATCCATCACAAGGGATAAATATTTTAAATCACGAACTATGAAGGATCTTTTTAATAGTATCAGTTCTCATTTAATTATTGCATTTTTAAAAGAATTAGATTTGTTAAATGATTTGTAAATCCATAAATATTTTAAGATTGGAAGTTTGAATTCGTAACTAAGATTGTTAGTGGCTGTATCTTCAAAGGGGGTTAAAGTACTGTAAAATTATTGTCCTCCTGAGAGGGTATATAAGTCCCAAAACATTCGAAGTAAATTAAAACGTTCCACTTTTTTAATCGTAGAATACCTGTTCTTTTAATGTATGGCTAGATTTGCTAAATTGCTAACGGCTGAAGGGATGGTGTAAATCCAGCTAGGGTCCATGCAGGCAAGCAAATGTACTGTAGTGAGTGAGTGAGTGAGTGAGTGAGTGAGTTTGGTTTTACGCCGCTTTTTTAGCAATATTCCAGCAATATCACGGCGGGAGACACCAGAAATGAGCTTCACCCAATGTACCCATGTGGGGATTCGAACCCGGGTCTTCGGCGTGACGAGCGAACGCTTTATCCACTAGGCTATCCCACCGCCCCCAAATGTACTGTAAGTCCCCCTGGTCCCTAGTATGGTGATCTACCTTCAGTTGTTGGCAATCTATAGCCGGTTTTTATATTGTATTGTCATTTAAAAGTAACATATTTTAGATTTAATTACTAGTCTTAAATTTTCCCTGTGACATTCTAGTTGTTTTACTGTCCTTCGTCAGCAGGTTTTTTTTATAATATACATATATTTCATTTCAATATCAAATGTTCTCGTCACGATATGGCTGAAATATTGCCGATGTGACGTTAAATATTAACTCACTCACTCACTCACTTTGTAAACATTACATTATGTGCTAGAAAATACGAGAAAAGTCACTATTACAAATCCTGTTTTGTTTCCTGGTTAGAGATCATGTTTGCGTACAGTCAAATGATGAACGTTCAGCCACGCAGGCTTTTGTTTTAAGATGACGGTGTGCAGTGTGGAATTCTGTATATAATCAGTATATATATATATATATTCATATCAAATATATATCACTGCAATAATGCAGTTAAATAATGTTGGGAAGATCCGTGGAGAACAAGCTGAGTCTTGTTGAAAAACGAGTTTGAATTTATACTTTTGATTTATACGTGGGAAAATGTGACGTATATTTTAGAATGGCGATGAGTTCTGCCTAACAATAAGAAGTTCATCGGATCCTGGTGTGGGAGGTGCTAGGACTGAAACACACAGGCAAGGCATGCTTCCTTGATTTCAGATACAACTTAACAACAATAGCAATACATATTCGTTGAAATCAGTACAGGTTATGTTTGACAGTTTTTAATTGAAATAATGCCTTCGAGTAACCTAGGTAGGTAGTTATTAAATTTTAAAGTATTCATTTATGTCATGGTCACGGGTAATGCAAAATGATACTACTATCGCAGTATTACCTTGCAGATCAACAGGTATAGTCCTAAACACGCCTCCTAGTGCAATCGCTATTGCAGGGCCAAACAAGGTCATCGTTGCACTGATACCTGCACATCAACAGCAGCAATGGAAGGATAACACAAGCATCAATATTCGGATAACACAAACTGCAATTTGTGGATAAATCTAGCAATACAAGGATAAAGCAAGCATCAACGTGAGGATGACACAGTCACCAATGGAGACATATTATATGTACACAATCAGGTCAAATCTGGAATTTAGACGCAGATAATGACGTATAAGAACGTAGTTCTAGGCAACGGTCACCCGAGGTCACTCATTGATAATACTTATGTGCCAAATCCAAGCTACCCTAACATGTAAGCAAAGAAATGTGAAAAGGTAACTAAAGACTCCCCTTTAGGGCCTCAACGTAATAGTCGAGTTACTAACCAGATGACAAACTGGCTGCATGTTCGAGTATAACTGTCTATCAGCAAGCATTCTACGCGGTACAAACGTGAACATTAATAATCAGATTCCTGATTGACTTCAACCTTCCAATAAACGTAATAACCTGAAGAGCAATTTTCCTCCACCTTCAGGATTTGGTGTCTACATTTCATATGTCTTGGGATACAATCAAGCATGCTCTCTGTACACTGATTTCAAGGAGCGTCATATGACTCTTACTAAAATGTGTTTGATCATGGTTATAACTTGTAAGGTCTTGGCAAAGCTTTAAGTCGGTTTTATTGCAGACAAATGGAGGATATTTCCCATTGTGAAGCATAAGTGACAATGCTATTCTACGTATATCATAATATTGACGTGTACAATTATATTAACTGACATTACTTCGCATTTGGCTGGCACTGAACAACCTCACCTAATATCGCCATTATTTGATAGTGGATCATAAAAATATGCTGGTATTGTCGGAACGGAGCAAAATACCCCGTTTTAGCATATATTTCTATGATTTTGGAAAAGATCGTATGATTTACTTAGATTTTGATTAGTTTTGTTCTTACCGATGTAAAGTCCACTTTTGGTCTTGATGGGATTGTTGTCATCTATGTAAGTAGTTGATAGAGATACGCGAGGTGATTTTCCAATACCTTGAAGAACCATACTGATACCAAAAAACCACACTATCCATTGTGCACTGCCAGTATCACTGGCTACACCCTCCTCACCACACCCATGTGACGTCGTGTTGCCCTGGTCACACAGAGGGGCCACGAAAGTGTGATCTAACGACGAATTCCTAACATCCTCTGTTGACAGCTTGGGCAACTGGTAGGGATCAAAGAAGTAGCACAGACTTGCCAAAATGCCTGATACACCAAACAGGATGGTAGATAGAGAGATGACTCGTGGAATATGGCCGTAACTTCCAAAATGACTAATGAAAAGAACGGCACAGAGGAAACCTATGTCATTGCAGCTAAGGATAATGCCAGTTGCCGTACTGCTAAGATTGAACTGCTTTTCCAGGGCTGTTATTTGTGAGACAATATAAATACCCAATGACTGTGTAATCATGGCTGCGAGGCCGAAGAATATGGAAAATGATAAAACATTTTTGAGACATTGTAGAGCTTGAGGACGACACGACCCAACTCCACAGTGTGACTCAAATACTTCCTTGTCATCACCACGTTTGGCATCATTCATAGACGTCGTCTCTGCACTGTGGTCATCGTCTGGAAGATGAAAGAGGTGATGAGGGAAGACAAATAACCATTCTATCCACCATTCATCAATCTAATATATCTTAACCTACAGCCAAACATTTCTGATTCATTGTGACAAAAATTGAAGTGAGTATTTTCTCCATATGCATATCAAAAGGTAAAAACATGGATACGAACGGTAAAGACATATGTCAACGATTCGTTATTTGTTGCAATGAAATGACAGTTATCGCACACATACAAATAGAATAGAATATGTTCGAATAGAAAATGTATCATTAGTATCATTAGGGTGAGTAAACTGCAGTGCAGATGAAAAGAAACACCCTTGTGCGATGTTCAGAAATGAACAAACTTAAAACTTGACATATTATGTAATGGTGATGTAATGGCTACTGGTAGCCTTACATACATCACATCAAAACTCACAATAAAGAGCAGAGACATGAGTTAAATGTTATATGTTTGTCACAAATCTACTCGACTTTTCCATGACATCGTCACCTGAAATCCGTTATGGCCTCTGTCTTCAAACTGAGCTCCGGGAGTCTACGACCTGACTGAAGTGTTGAAATGAAAACGAGCTAAATATATGTCCGACAGAAGCCATTCAATATGTGCGGAATAGATTCACATCTGTCTGTGAAGAGCGTATAAGCAGACGTCAGCTGTCACATCAACACACTGGTAGGAGTTGATTGGCAGAAAAGAGGAGGTCCATGGTGTGTATGACTGCCTCAAGGACTCCGGTATGACCCGACACACGGGGAGCTACCGTCAACAACACACATCAGGGACAACACACCTCATGTGTTCAATAGACGCTTTGTTGAGGAAATTAAACCTGCTACCTAATTTGTTCCACAATGTACCACAATATTAAATAACATTTAAACACAAGCTGTGAGATACATTATATTTGTGCTGTGGAAGGAACACTGCTGGAAAGAAAAGTAATTGTCACAACCATGACTATACAAATGTTTTGGATACGCTTACATATATAATTACTATTATTTTCTTCAAGTTTTTTTATCAATTTTATTTATCTTCTACAATCTTATATTTTTACATTCTCAATCCAGTTAAGTCACATAGTTTTCAGAACCTGCATAATTATTCTCAGCACTAGAACATTCACGCTGTCAAAACCGGACGCGGCTTATCTTTCACCTTTACTATTAAAATCATAGTTATTAGAAAAGTGAGTGAGTGAGTGAGTTAATATTTTTCGTCACATCGGCAATATTTCAGCCATATCGTGACGAGAAAATTTTATAATTATATTAAAGATGAATAAAATTAGAAATTAAAAAAACTGTTGATGAAGAACAGTAAAACTACTAGTATATCACAGATATCCATTCAAACCTAGCAATTAAATCTAAAATATTGGAACTATAAATGACAAGACAATATAAAAACAGGCTGTAGATTGCTAACGACTGAAGGTAGATCACCATACTAGGGACCATGGGGACTTACAGTACATTTGCTTCCTGCATTTAAGAGAAAAGAAGTTTAGAAATGTAAGTTTATGAATGTCAGAATGGATTATAAGGTGACAGTAAGAATAGGTGAAACAATACTTACTTTGCTGTATTATCTTATGATAGTGTTTGGCGTTACCATATTTACCATAATGTAAAATGGATTCATTACTCAAGCAGAGTATTTCAGAGTGATCGTTATATATATATATATTACATAACGTATATTATATTGTCTTAACAATGAATTATGAATTTGAATGTTGATTATTGAATGTTAGTTGAATGCATGTTGCTTTCACCTTTACTTAATACAAAATCTTTTGCGTGGGATCCTCTCTGTTGTATTTGAAGGCGTGGACAGCCCTGAGCTAATTCCCCGAAATAATTCTAAGTTTGAACAGTCACACACGTCAAGACTGTTTCACATGCATACAGTATTCTCAGAAATTATTGACAAAGCTGTTTCGGCAAGTATGTATATAAACTATAGAAGTTTTACTAAAATTAATATGTTGAGATGTGATTCTCTTACAGTCTAAGTGTCTTTTCAGTACTTTGTGAGTGAGTGAGTGAGTTAAAATTTACTGTCACATCGGCAATATTTCAGCCATATCGTGACTAAAACAAGTCAAATTGACCATAAATACATGGAAATTATAAAAACAAACTGTCAACGAAGGACAGTAAAACAAACTAGAATATGACAGTAGTTGGCTATAGATCGCCAACAACTAAAGGTAGATCAACATACTAGGGACCATGGGGACTTACAGTGCCTTTGCTACCTGCATGGACCCTTATTGGATTTACACCATCCCCTCAGCCGCTGGAGATTGTAGGAAAAGATTAGCCGAATTTTAAAAGAACAAATATACTACGTTTAAAAGTCGGGTAAGCAAAAATTTAACTCTGAAAGTTTGGAGGACAATAATTTTACGACACTTTTACCCCCTTTGAGGATACAGCCACTAGCAATCGCAGGATCTTCGCCTTTAAGCAAATATTCATGTGTATATCTTGTGTGGGCAATACGACATCGTCGTATGATGACCTCTTCAAATCTGGACTGACAACCCAAGTAGGTGTAACCAATATAGGGTCTTATTTCATGTAATTTGTTAATACCTTCCTGGGTGTCCCACTTCTTTTGCATCAGATCACGGATGTAAGTTTTAATGCTAGCTTTGTAATCAGAGTATGGAATAAGAAGTGGTGTCACAGATTTATTGAGTGATGCCTTAGCAGCAAAATCGGCCATTGTATTCCCGGAAATGCCAACGTGGCTGGGTAACCAACAGAAGACGATGTCGTATTGGCCAGTAGCAAGATCATTATGTAATTCAATAATTTCGATTAAAAGTGGGTGTTTGGAAGAAAGATTTTTGATAGCCTGAAGGCAAGAAAGAGAATCGGAAAAAATTATGTACTGTTTATATGTACGGTGTTTATTAATATATTTAAGAGCCTTTAATATGGCGTTTGCTTCTGCTGTAACAAATAGAGCTGTTATCCGGTATTCTAGAAGATATTGTTCTGGATCCAATGACTGTGGCACATGCCACCGCACCGCCATCCTTGGACCCATCTGTAAATAAGGATTTATATGTATTATATTTATCTCTTAATTGACTAAATTCTTGTTTATACTGTAATTCATTAGTTTCTGATTTTTTAAATGCGGTCATTGTTAGGTCAACTTGGGGCCTAACCAATTGCCAAGGAGGATAAAAAAGAAGACGAGAAGGAGATATATTTTCCAGCTCAATGCTGGCAGCAGTAATGAATGGCTTAATCCTGAGCCCAAGAGGCGGAACAAGAGAAGATTTCTTGTTGTACAAATCCTCATAAAGAGGATAAAAGATACAGTGAAATGCAGGATTAGACTCGTTAGAATATAGTTTGGTAATACATTGTAATGATAATTTTATACGGCGTTGTGCAAGAGAAGGCTCATCTGCCTCGACGTAGAGTGAGTGAGTGAGTTAAAATTTTACATCGCATCGGCAATATTACAGCCATATAGCGATGAAAACAAGGTAATCAAGGTAATTCTTCTGCATCAGATCGCGGATGTAGGTTCTAATGCTAGCTTTGGAATCAGAGTATGGGATAAGAAGTGGTGTCACAGATTTGTTGAGTGCTGCCTTAGCAGCAAAATCGGCCATTGTATTCCCAGAAATTCTAACGTGGCTGGGTAACCAACAGAGGACAATGTCGTATTGGCCAGTAGCAAGATCATTATATAGTTCAATAATTTCTATTAAAAGAGGATGTTTGCAAGAAAGATTATTTATAGCCTGAAGGCAAGAAAGAGAATCTGCAAAAATGATATATTGTTTATATTTGGGGTGTTTTTTAATATATTTAAGCGCTGTTAATATGGCATTTGCTTCGGCTGTGAAAACAGAACTATCGCCTAGTAAGTTCTAGAGTTAGTTCTGGATCCAATGACAGTGGCACAAGCCACTGCGCCACCATCCTTAGACACATCTGTAAATAAGGATTTATATGTATTATATTTACTCTTTAATTGATTATATCCTTGTTTATATTGTAATTCATTGGTGTCTGATTTTTTAAACTGTGTCAGTGTGAGGTCAATTTGTAGCCTCACTAATTGCCAAGGAGGAGAGGAAAGAAGGCGGGAAGGAGCTATATTGTCTAGCTCAATGCCGGCAGCAGAAATGAATGGTTTAATTCTGAGCCCAAGAGGCGGAACAAGAGAATACTTCTTGTTTGTACAAATCCTCATAGAGAGGATTAAAGACACAGTTAAATGCAAGATTAGACTCGTTAGAGTATAATTTGGTAATATATTGTAAATATAGTTTAATACGGTGTACGGTAAGAGAAGGCTCATCTGCCTCAACATAAAGGCTGTCAACAGGAGAAGTTCTAAAGACCAAAGACAAAGTCTTAGGCCTTGGTGGTGGACAGAATCTAATAGTTTTAGGTTGCTTTTGCAGGCTCCACCATATACGATGGAGCCTAATCAAGTTTCGAGCGGACCAATGATCGATATAGGTGGAGGAGGGTAGCTTGATCCCTTCCCCCCTTTGAGTGGGAAACAACTTCCAACAAATCGAGGGGCTTCAGGCATTTGGCTTTAAGTGATTTAATGTGCGGCAAAAAAGTTAAATGGGAGTCGAAAATTATACCCAAGAACTTGGCCTCCTTCACACCATTGATGAGAGTGCCATTTAAAGATAGTTCTTGGTATTTATGGGGCTTATATCTTCTACAAAAGTGTAGACAATTTGTTTTGGACTTGGAAACTTTAAAGCCGTTTTCAAGACACCATATATTTATTATATTTAAACACAACTGCAGTTGCCGTTCAATAGTACGGATATTTTTACCACGACAAGAAATATTAAAATCATCCACAAAAAGTGATCCATCTACTGAATCATTTTAAACTTTGGATAAACGGTTGATCTTGATACCAAATAAAGTGACAGACAAAATACTGCCTTGGGGACACCCTGATCCTGATTGTAATGGTCAGACAGTGTTGAACCCACACGGACCTGAAATTGCCTGTCTGTTAAAAACTGTGAGATAAAAAGAGGTGGTACGTATGCTTTCTCGAGATCAAAGAATATCGAGACAGCATATTGTTTATTAACTATAGCATATTTTACAAAGGATTCTAAACGTACGAATTGATCAATGGTACTACGATTTTTCCTGAAACCACATTGAATATTTGTTAGAAGGTTATTGGTTTCAAGATACCAAGTTAATCTATTGTTTACCATTCGTTCCATGGTTTTGGAGACACAACTCATTAAAGAGATTGGACTGTAATTAGACGGATCAGTATGATCCCTGCCAGGTTTTGGAATGGGGACTACAATGGCATTACGCCACGAAGTTGGGAAATTCCCTGAAGTCCATATTTGATAAAAACTTTCTAAAAGGATTACTAAACATGATGAGCACGAAAAGAAAGTGTACCTGTGTCTTGGATGCGCGAGGAGGGTACACAACATATTGAATGACCGAGTGCTTCATGTTTGACATAAATGTTGGGGGGTTGGGTGCGGTGCTATGTGATATATATCATTTGATCCTTTATTAATGGCCCCTAGTGTGTGTGTATATATATATATATATATGTGTGTGTGTGTGTGTGTGTGTGTGTGTGTGTGTGTGTGTGTGTGTGTGTGTGTGTGTGTGTGTGTGTGTGTGTGTGTGTGTGTGTGTGTGTGTGTGTGTGCATCCCTCCCCAAAACACATGGATAAAACATATGATGCGATAACCTCTGGCATGTCTATAAGAAAGGCTTCTGCAAATTTTTTAATTCCTTTTGCCACATTACATGACAGAATAAGTGGGAAAGTTTCTGCTGAATGCATTACAACAGGGCGGGATCCAGCATTATCCGTAGAAGAACAGAAGCAACTCATTGACCATGTTCAAGCTATGTCAAATTTTGGTTATGGCTTTTCCAGAGCTGAGGTGACCGCTAATGCTACTGATTTAGCCGTTTGTCTAGGAAAGAAGACGAAAGATGAACCCTGTATTTCCTTACAGTGGTTTTCTGGCTTCCTTAAATTTGTATATGATTGATGACCAAAAAGATTTTTCATGACGTAACATAACGTTTTCTTCCACGGAAGCTAGGTGGGGGTCGAAGTGACAATGATATTGTAAGTATAGTATTATATTGACACCCACCTCGCTTCCACGAGAGAAATTGTTATGTTATAAGCAATGTCATGTGAAATCATATTGGTCATGATTCAAAGACATATTTAACTACGAGTAGGAAGTAGTTTTTATTTTCTAACTCGATGAAAACAAACCATAATCTCATTAATTCTTTATCAGACTTTAGCCCGTGACTTTACGATTTTCAAAAATGGCGGCGCCCTGTCACGAACAGCCACCAGTCTGAGGATAAATGCTATTTAGGTTTGTTTTCACTGAGTTACAAAATTAAAACTACTTTCTACTGGTATATGTATTTGATTGATGGCCAATGGGATTTTGCATGACATAGCTCATAACATAACAATTTCTCTCGTGGAAGTGTCAGTATAATACTACTTACAATATTATTGTTACTTCGACCACAACCTCGCTTCCGATAAAGAAATCGTTATGTTACAAGTTGTGTCATAGGAAATCTTTATGGTCATCAATCATATTCATATTTTACTAGTAAGTAGTTGTGATTCTTTAACTTCCGTGAAGCGATCTGAACACAAGTAAGATATCGTTCCAGGCTTCCACAACGCTCGCCTCGCACTCACAAACATAACCCATTATCACGAACTCCGGGGTCCTGTGGAAATCAGTGCATGGTGACACCATCACCCGACCCCTAAGAGCAATTGACGGCAACGCAACGATTCGGCATATCTTCACTGACGTCAAGAACTCATCAAAATGACGAGCTTGCTAAACACTTTATAAACAGCTACCTGAAAATCCCTCCTCACATGACGTCACTTCCGGTTAGCTGCAGTGCACTGGCGACAGAATTCCGAAACCTTTCTGTGGTTTCGTTGGCGGGCGAGAGTGAAGCAGCCGACTTTTTGGCAACTTTAAATCGCTCGGTATTAATTAACCACAAGTTTTTTAAGAACGATTTTGGTGTTCCGCTTAAGACTAACCATGCGTCTTTCATATGTATTGGTTAAAAGAGTACAAAAAAC